TTTTTTGTTTCTTTTTCTAAAAAAAAAAAAAAAAAAAAAAAGGTCCACACCCATCTCAATAGCCTATGACACACATGCTCATTCTCACACACGTGCATGCAGACATAAAGGGTTGAGTTTTCAGTAAAAGGACCTGATTGATTATACATGGCTGGGATCATTTTCCAGTGAAGGGGAGGAGGTGTCTGAGCAGTTGTTAGCCAGTCTGAGACCTCCTGAGGGAAGCCACAGCAGCAGAGATGGCCAATGGTGGACGTTCAGAGAGTGGCTTTGGCTCGCAGCAGGACAGAGGGAGTCAGTTTGAGTCCATTTTGAAAACCTTTCTTTATTCAGGGGAGCTGCTCCACAGTAGCTTTGCTGTGTCATTCTAAACCATGCGTCAGAGACAGTGAGCCGAGCTTGGCTGCTGTCTGGGGCTCCAGCCTCTGACCTTGATGATGGAGAAGTGAAGAGATGATGGAGAGAATGTTTGCCTGCTCTTAAATGACTAGCTTACTCTTTAATGAATGAATTATTGTGCAATGATTGCTGGTTTCTCCTAAATGATAGTTCACTTAAAAATGAAACTTTCCCACACTGAACTGGATTTTGAGGGGGCCCCATAGCAAATTCTGTGCAATGGACCCAGAATCCCTAGCAACATTTTGAAGAATGTTGGTAACCAAAACAGTTTGGTTGACTTCGAATATATATGGACAAAAGAGTTGAGACATTTCTTTTATGTTCCATAGAAATAAGAAAGTCATGCAAGTTTGGAATGCCATGAAGATGAGTAAATGAAGACAACATTTTCATTTTGGGTGGACTAAGTAATATGGTATCATAAAACCTAAAAATGAAACTTCTGTCATGGGTCTCACCATCATGTCGTTCCAAACCTGTATGACTTATTTCTTCTGCAGAACACAGAAAGTAAGATGAGCAAAGTGTAAAGTAAAGAGTAAAGTAAAATGAATGGGGTGTTTCAAAATTAGATTTGTCAAAATGCTCTTTTGTGTTCTGCAGAAGAAAGAAAGTCATGCAAGTTTGGAACAATATGAAGGTGATGAAATAATTTTTCATTTTTTGGTGGACTATACCTTTAAAAGTTAATCATATTACTTTAAGGGATTGTTCAGCCGAAAATAAAAGTTATGTCCTCATTTACTCATCCTCATGAAGATATTTTGAAGGATGTATGACTTATTGACATGAGGACAAGTAAGGATGATGATGTTTATCTGTTACAGTGAAACCAGCTGGCATTCTCTAACTGATACATCTAACATTTTTATTATCTTTTAATGACACTTTTCTTCTTTGAATAAACTCCTTATTTTAGCATGAGTTACAGCATGCTAAAAGCATTTTACACCCTGTGATCTGGCATCCTAGGAAATGCACATCACCACCTGCACGGACAGAGGAAGAACGGGCAATCCAAGCAGTTCTCTGCACACTAATGTTTCATGGGCCATGAGTGAGAAAGAGGTTTGCTAATCTGCCCACGCGGCTGGGCAGCGTTGCTTTTTCCTGGAGGCCCATTGCTGACCATGCAGTGGCCTAAGCCTTTTTCTTTATTCAAATCAAGGCGGTTATGTAGGGGACCATGAGCAGAGACACCCAACACCCGGCAATCACACTGTCCTCCACTCACAGCGCACACTCTAAATGATTAATGAAGCTGGCTCACCTTCCCTCTCAGGAGGGACGCGAAACCAGATAGCGCCGGGAGAGGCTGCGCATAGCCGCGCGCGTGTGTGTGTGTGTTTGCATGAGCGCAAGCACTATTAGAAGACATGTAGGGCTACAAGTTTCATCAGTGTCGTCTGGTCTTTGACGCAGAGAGAGTTCACTGTAGTGTGCCGGTACATTTTTGTAGAAGATGACGACTGGTTAGAAGTAACATTTGACTCCTTTCACATGATAGTTCATACCGATGTTCCACCACGTGCATCATTTCAAGCTTTAACACAGTTAACCAGAGTATTGCGCCATTATCTAAGATGTTAAATCATGTCAGTGCTTGTTCTCTTTCTCTTTCTCTCTCTCTCACTCTCCTTCTCTTGTCCTCTTGTGTGTTGGCCCAGTGGGTGATCACGTTTCAGCCCTCTGTCCTCCTGGCAGGCAGAGGGATTGAATGTTCATGCATAGGGAAGTGACACCGCCAGTGTCTGGGCAGGAACATGCTTCTCAGACTGTAATCAAAGCACTATCTTTCATTCTCTTTTTACTCACTCTTCTGTTTTCTTGCTTATTTTCATATGCTTGTTTCTAAGCTATTAAAGATTTTTTTAGTAAAAAATAAATATATATACATATAATAAAAATTTTGTTTCGGTCAAGTGATATAATCTCTGGTGTAATCCGTACCAATTACAGTAATGTCGTTATGGTGTGTAATGTGTTGAAACACCTGTGACATATAAATCTAACTTTGTCACAGATCTTATTAACAGCTGATCCTTCACATTCCCAAGTGTTTTATTGGGAATGCTGGCTTATAGCAGATGAGTGGCCCGGTCAGGAAGTGGCTGCCCTAATGTTTCATATACATTTGAGGAATGCGTCCATATGTGCGGTACTGAGCACTGTACATGACACTGTCCACAACTGACTCTTGTACAAGTGTTGCTGTAAAATGTTCTGTAAATGGGCTGCTGATGTGACACTCCATTTGATCCTTTAATGTATTAAAAATACATACAGTTGAATACAGTCTTGAATAGATTTCTTCTATGAGGAGCATGCTTTTAATTCTGATTTAAAATTCCTTTTTGTTATGTGGGGGTCAAAACGTTTTAAAAAAATGTTGGGGTGATAAAACTTTCCTGATAGGAAAAGCCTCATTAAAAAATAAACTCTTGAAAGAAAACCTTATTACGTGTTTGGCATAATCTTTAATTAATATTTTAAGAACCAGAAATGGCAATCGTCTTTTCTTCCCTATTGTGACGTATATATCAGAGTAAAGTGACTTCTTGAGTAAGTTAAAAAAAGTAGGATAGGACTTGATTTTGTCCATTGGGAATTGATTGGATAGTTGGATTGCTATCACATGCTAAGTGTTATAATTGTTTTGTATAAGTGACAGGTTGCTGGAAGTGAGGAATTGAAACTTGTCTTGGACAACATTATTACCAAGCCCTCGCGCCAATGTACGTGTCATCAGAAAAGTGGGGTTTTTGTGAGGGGAGGGAGATGTTCATGTTTTCTGAGATTACCAGGGCACATAAATTAAAAAAAGAAATAATGTGTGCATTTATAATAAATACAGCAATATTCTGTAATGAAAATGTAACAAAATATTTGAACAAAAACTTCCCTGCTTATTAATATGACTTTTAGATGACAAATGAAATGGGAACGACCAACAAAGTCATGTTAAAAATTATATTAACTGTATACATTAATGAAAGAAATTATAACATTTTATAAAAATGAAATTAAAAATTTTATTAAAATATTTAACGATACTTTTAGAGTCATAACATTAAACATATATAAAAGATTTTCAAAACCATATGAAAAAACAATGAACACAAAGAGTATACTTTTCTATAACTTGGCATAAATGTTTTAAAATAGATTTTTAATA